TGGAATGACCCTAGTTTTGTTGCCGTTACACTGTAGCAATCAAAACTGCAGCAGCATTCGTAGTGCCTCAAGTTGGTCAGATGACCTCTGTGCTTTTCCCTGCGCTGGCATGCACAGTGGTCCTGTTAGGCAATTGTGGAGCTAAGCTAATTAAGAGAAACGGGCTAACTTTTAGTCTCCAGATTGTTTTGAAAACCTGAGCATTCAGTTGCTGCCTGACAGGTTGCCCTGCAGAAGAACAGAGCTAGGGACCCACCCCCACACTGAGTACGGCCTGCGAGACTCCCTGGGGGCAGTTCTCCTTTGGGCCATAGGGTCACTGTGAGACGGAGTTAAGTGGAAGCAGAGTGTGGGCTTACTTACAGCAGTGCTTCCAAACTAGGTTCCAGAATGATAACACGCTGCACCTGAGAGGAAAGGTCGAGCGCCGTATCCTTTTGGGAACCCTCAGATTAAACAGTGGAATTGCTTTCCTCTCCTGCTGTACATCGACTTTCTGCAGAAGGAATCGGGGATGCAGCCTAATAAGCCTATTTGATAATGGAGCCCCATGCACACACACACACACCCCTTTGGGACATAATTCTATAAACTAGAGTTCTCTAAAAAAAGGCACTGCAAAACACATTGGCATGTGGTATGGACTGAACTGAGCCATATGACCCCCGGCACTGTTTTAACAGAGGCGTTATTGATGAAAACCGCAGTTCAAGGTAGGCCTCCCTGTTGGACGCCAAGAGGAGGCCTTTCTTGCCACTTCCCTCCCTTGGGTTTCCCTGCCATTTCCCACATTCTTACACGGGGCTGGACAAGTCCTCTACAGCATTCTATGAGTTGCACTCTTAAGATTAAAATCTTGTATCAGATCCTCACTTCCACTTATTTTCTAGTTCTTTGAAAGGGCTAAGCCCGTCATTTCTGCCAAGAGGTTGAGTAAACGTGTCTGGAAGTGGGCATTAGACAAAGTCCTCAGTTTACCTGATGGGGATCCCAAGGCCCGTTCCTTTTGCTGCGGTCTTCAAGACTGGCAGAGGCTGTTCGTTTTCTCTGCCAAAATGGAGGTCTAGCGCTAGTGGAGGAATATTGATCGCCTAAAACACGAATCATACAGCTGATCTAATCCAAGTTACTATTGACGTCAAACTACGCGTCCTTTTCTCCCCGGAGCTTTTTTCTCTCTGATTTTTTTTTCCTTTCTGTTTTTGCCTTTTAAGTCAAGAAAGATGTTCCTCCTTCAGCTGTCACGAGACCAATATTTGGCATATTGGGCACAATCCATCTGGTGGCAGGTAAGTGAAAACAAGCTAAGATGGGCAAAGAAGGTAATGAAGTTGACAGTACTGGAGTACCACACGGAGGTCTGCTGCCTAGCCTGCTTCACGCTCTTGTCTCGGTGAAGTCGGTTGGACACAGTGCTGTTGCTGCGTTGTCAAGATGAAAGTCCTGTCTACCCTGTCGTTCACCGTCTAGTGAGAGTAAGTTACTACAGTGCAGGGCACAGGATGGGGGAGAGACGCACCGGGCGACTGCTGGGCAGGACGCTGGTGGATAGAGCATGGAACCCAGCTTCAGGATGGAGTTAGTGGTAGGCTTGTTGCCTTCTTTTCTTCGCCAGGGAGAAGGAAGTGGCCAGGACCAAGGTTAGCAGATTGTGTGTTTTGCTGTGGTGGCTCCTTGATTACTAGTTGCTCACCCTGAGATATTGCAACATCCACTTCTTTATCCTGCCCCAGCACACTTCCCTACCATGTAGAATGGCCGGGAGGCCTAAGTGTGGTGTAGATGGGACTTT